TTTTTGTCCTTTATCATGTCCATCTTTGCACAAAATATTCCTTTAGTATCTCCAGTTTTCTTGAACAGATCTCTGGTTTTTCTCTTTCTGTTCTTTTCCTATATTTCTTTGCACTGTTCATTTAAGAAGGCCTTCTTGTCTTTCCTTGCTATTCTTTGGAAGTCTACATGCAATTTTCTGTAACTTTCCCTATGTCCCTTGCATTTTGTTTCCCTTCTCTTCTCTGCTATTTGTAAGGCCTCGTTGGGCAGCCACTTTGCTTTCTTGCATTTCCTTTTCTCTGGGATGGTTTCTGTTGCTGCCTCCTGTACAATGTTATGAGCCTCTATCCAAAGTTCTTCAGGCACTCTGTCCATCAAATCTAGTTCCTTAAATTTGTTTTTTACTTCCACTGTGTATTCATAAGGGATTTGGTTTAGATTATACCTGAGTAGCCCAGAGGTTTTTCCTACTTTCTTCAGTTTAAGCTTGAATTTTGCTATGAGAAGCTGATGATCAGAGCCGCAGTCAGCTCCAGGTCTTGTTTTTGCTGACTGTATAGAGCTTCTCCATCTTTGGCTGCAGAGAATATAATCAATCTGATTTCAATATTGCCCATCCAGTGATTTCCATGTATAGAGTCGCCTCTTGTGTTGTTGGAAAAGAGTGTTTGTGATGACCAGCTTGTTCTTTTGACAAAACCCTATTAGCCTTTGCCCTGCTTCGTTCTGAACTCCAAGACCAAACTTCCCTGTTGTTCCTTTTATCTCTGCATTCTGTATTTATTTACTCTGTATTCTGTATTTATTTACTGTATTCGTTCCATAAGACGCACATACTTTCTCCCCCACTATTTGGGGGGGGGGAAGTGCATCTTATGGAGCAAAAAATACGGTAGGGCACAAGGGCAACAAAAGATACTTTTCACGTATCTAGTTGAACTAGCAGCAGTTTGGCAAAGGAATAAAATGCTCAGAGAAGCTGCAGATTCTCAACCATAGTCTGATGGATTCTGTTAGAAAAAATATCAACAAACTATTAAAAGAGAGTCCCTTGGATTTCCATCTGCTAGATATTTTTTGGATATACTATCTGCAGCCATTAATTTTGTGATGAGGGGATTCGCCAAGTCAAAAGAAAAGAAAAAGAAGAAAAGCATGACATTTTATGACAAACACTTTTCACCAGATTGCTATCTTAAAATTTCTCAGGGCATGTTATCATATACATATTCTGTATGCTTCACATATAGAAAAACAGACACCAGTTAGATGAACTTGCTTTATGGTTTCTTGTTTTCTCGCAACACAAAAACAGCTGCTCCTTTACTTCATGTTTCAATTTCTGTTCTATCATTCCCAAACCTAACAGATTGATTGTCATGGATGCTATAAATCTCAAGTCAAAACCTAAGTGTTAGTTTGTATACTGAAGTTTACAGTAATCTACCACATCACTTCTCAGACAAATCCAAACAGCTTCAGGGTATCTATTGTATAGTATCGTGGCCACTTACACCTCAGCTGAATCCTTTGGCATCCATGAAGTTCAAATTCAAAAATATATTCTTATATTCAAAAGTAGTACAAGTGGCTGAAATCCTCTTGCTTTGTCAATGCAAACAGAAGGCAAACTGTGTAACATTCAGTCATTTCTGGCTCGCAATTAATGAGTCACTATTAGGATTCTCAGGGGAGCCTACATTCATTGGCTTGGTGTGCAAACTTGAGAATCGTCATTAACTGCCAGCTAGAAAATACTGAAATTACATGGGTGCCTTCTGCATGTGTAATAAAGCAATAGATTTCAGCTTGCAGGTTTTTTAAAAATTCCTGCATCCCACTATTATTAGATTGTGAATCAGAATTAGCAGCAGAGAGAGATCCCTTTTACCTCAACATCTACTTAAGATCTTACCTAAGCTAGACACCTACTAAGTAAACACTGATCTCAAACAGTGGCCAAAATCCTGTTGCTTCGCATAGTAATTCACATCAGAGTACACTCACTGAAGCAGTAGAGATTTGAGGAGTCAATTCCTCCATAACCTCCATTGATTCAAACAGACCCGCTCTTACTGCAACTTCCTTTAGTATAGTAAGCTGCAATTATAATAGGCCTATTTAAATCAATGGAAATTACAGAGCAGTTGAGTCAGAAATCTCTATTGAGTCAATTGACCTACCCTAGTACAATCTACTATGCTTAGTAACAGGATTTTGGCCAGTAAAAGATAATACATACAATATCATCAATAGATTTACAGAATCATGTATATTATAGCTAGGCAAACAGTATCACTAGGGCCTCATAGAGGTTCACAGCTCCCTGACTCCCTCTTTTCCTGCCCCCCAAGATGAACTATCAACCTCTGAGAGTGGCGATTTACCTTTTACATAGGCAACAGTCATCCTGAACCATTTGACACCTCCAGATACCATTAAAAAATAAACAGGAGTGGACATATAGATATTTTGTTTCTTCCTTTTCCTTTTTTGGCATTTGGGGCAGTCTGTGTGGTCTCCAAAGTATCTCATGCCAGAAAATTGCCACCCCACCACCAGATCTCCCCAATATGTTTCAAGTACTTATATCTATCTCAGCACAGAAAGTCCAGAAACGAGTTTGTGATAACCATACTGATGGTTATAATCCATAAAGGATTATAATCTACAGTATTTGGTAACTAACCATTTACACATCAGCATTCATGTTAGACAAGCAGTGGCTCCCTTCCATATATACTGGAAAACACTGTGAACATAGCAAGTATAAATCTCCATAATAACTTTCTAGAGAGCCACCATAACCAAGTAGGAACAACAGGCAGATGGCAAAGTACTATTGGCATAAAGTTATGCTGTGGAGCTGGATGAAGTTCTCATCCAACAAAAGGAATAGTTAATGTAAATGAATTGAAAGTTTTCTATTCCCCGCTACCACTGGAGCATACTAATTTCATTCTTTGAACAAGTAACTGACTAAAGCTAAGAAGCAACAATGATCCCATGGCTAGTGTTAAGATGTTTTAGAATTGCCCACAATAATTTTAAGGTTATCAACAATGGGATGCATGCATGCATACAGCAGGCTGGGGCTTACTAGTTGATGTGAACCACATTAGCACCCTGAAATAGCAGTAGCTTTTGATAACTTCAGGGCAACAATTTTGTCCCTCTCTGATTGACTGCTACAGTTTCACATTCCTATTTTTTTCCCTTCATACTGCTAGGTATCCACTCTGCCAGCAAGCACAGACATGGAATATACTGCATGTTGGTAAGCTGTTTCTATTGCACAATGAAAAAGCTAGCATTTATCTCTCTTAATTGCTGACTTGGGAACCTGGGAATGCAATTAACTTTTTAAACTGGATGCAACTTACTAAACATGCACAGGATCAATAAGTAAGGACTGCTAGTAGTGCAGCATACTGGTTTCAAGTGGGAACTGTTTATTTATTTACTTAACTTATATGTCACCCACACTACCTGAAGGTCTCTGGGCGGCTTACAACATTTAAAATACAATAAAAGTTGCAGCTCACACTGCAGTTTAGACAAGAGTTCATCAGATGACCTTTGACCTTCACTCTTAGCTTCTGAAATATGACAATATCAGGCTATCTTACCAAATTGTCATAGTGTTTACTGAAAAAAATGGAAACCCCATGTGCTATGAATTAAGTACTCTTACTGCAGCTGTCCTATTCTTAGAGCAGTTCCAGCACTAACCACTAGCATGAACATTTCATATCCAGGACAAAAGAATCCTGCTGCAGGTCCTTTGGCTTTACAGTACTTTCTTCCAATACTCAGGAAAAAGTAGATTATAAAGTGAGTAGCTATTAGTGCACACACACATTTTGAATACTTTCTTTAAATCTGTCAGATAAGCAATTTTTAAATTATATCATTCCAGTGTCTTTCTCATTTAATGCTGACCTACACTTTATTTAACATCACTACCTGTCTGTCCCTATCCACTTCTGTACTATCTGCATCCTTCTGTTCCAGAATCCACATTCAACTTTTTCCCATTTATCCCTCGGATCCTTTTGCAAGCAGCCACTAATGTGATAATTTTAGCTTGGGTCATTACAGAGTAATTTCTAATGTTCTCCCTTCAAGATACTTCATATACTTCCTGACGGTTCACCAATATCACACTGACTGAAATCTTGAGCTTTCCACTCAGATTTGTACAAAAGCATAAAGATCTGGGGACAACACAGAGCTGCTCATCAAATAAATTAAGAGCTCTAAATAACTTGTCAGTTTGTCTAAAACCACATAAAACAAGAGGCCCCATAAGAGCTTCGATCTCATGGAATGGCCACCACTTGCTTGCAAATGAATGCCAAAAAAATGGGAGAAAAAGAAAAAGTTACAGCTATTCCTCCGCTGAATCTCTGAACCAGACTTTCTGCTGCAACGAGCAAATTATGTCCCGAAAGGTTCCTAGGAAAGGGAAACTCTAAAATGCTAAGGGATTCATGCGTGCCCGGCCTGAGTCCACAAGTGAACCACGAGTCAACACTCTCCACACGTTCAGAGGCACCCCCGACTTCAAACTGACACGAGCCCCGCCAAGAAGAAGAAGCCAAGCCGTCGCCGGGCCCCTTTTGTGGTGGGTGGGAAGAAAGAAGCCAGACAGAAAAGGACGAGCAGGGCTTCTTCCCCTTTGCTTGCGCTCCCGTCTTCTTTTATTCATCCCTCCTTCACTCCATTAGGCCCCACCTGCCCGCCCGCTCGCCAGCAAAGCCCAGCCAGCCACCCACACCGGCTGCCCAACCCCAACCGCCTCTCTACTCACGGCTATACAGAGCGAGGCAAGCGGCGTCGGGCCCCGTGCGAGCCTCGAGGCGGAGCGCCTGCTGCTCCTGGTGTCGCTGGATCTCGCCGTTGGCGTCGCCGATAGTCAGGAGCCGCACGCCGGGGAAGACCGACACCGCCGCCGCCATCTTGGCATCCCAGGCCCGCTCCGCGGCAGCAGCGACAGCGACAGCGGCAGCTTGCGGCAGGCGCAGACAGGGGAAGGCCAGCAGGAAGATGGTGGAGGGGCCGGAAGCTCCTCCTCCTCCTCCTGAGCTCGCTCTCTCTCTCTCCGCCAGGCGGTGGAAGGCCGCAAAAAGGGCGCCCTCTCTCGGCCGGCGGAACGAAGGAAGCGAAGGTGCACCGAGTTTCTTTTTCCATTTCCTGTAAGAAAGATGAGCAAGAAGGGAGTGTAATCGCAGTGAGGATAGCAACTGAAGAGGCCTCTGTGGCATCCTGTTAAGACGCCGACTAAAGAGCAAAGGGTTTAACAACATGATTAACATGGGCAATTCACAAAACCCATATTAACACACGCAACGTGCCAGGATGTTCATCCCATCAGCGACAGTTTACCAACAATACCTTAAGTTTGGTTGTTGTGGGTTTTTCGGGCTCTTTGGCCATGTTCTGAAGGTTGTTCTTCCTGACGTTTCGCCAGTACCTTAAGTTTCATTGGCAAACAAGCGGTCTGGGTAAAAAGCAGGTTCAGGAAATCAAGAATGGATCCTGGTGGTTTCATACGATCTTTGTTGTGTGGTCCTAAACAAATCACAATCAAAGCATAGGTCCCGTCTATGCCCACAGATTGGAACACAGATATCATTGATCCTTCAATGTATAGCATTTTGTAGTGGCACAAAACCATGGATTTCAGGTACGGATCCTCATGATTTCATATAATTTTCATATGAACCCCCTTTCAGATCATAGATCCCATCTGTGCCCACAGACCAAAAACTAGAAATCATAGCTCCTTCTGCACATGGCTTTGCAGTGGCACAAAAACATGGATCCCAAGCATGAATCCTCCTGTATCCACATGATTTTTACACAGGATTATCCCCAAACCATTGACCAGTCATAGGTTACATCTATGCCCATAGATTACAACAGAAATAATGGGTCCCTCAGGACATAGCTTTGTAGTAGCACAAAAACACCAGTCCAAGACAAGGTTCTACATGGATCCATATCATTTTTACGTAGAATCACCCCCAAACCAATGTCCAATCACAGATCCCAACTGTGCCCACAGGCAAAGCTTCAGAAATCATGGGTCCTCCAGCACATGGTCTTGCCATGACACAAAAACATGGATTCGACACACGGATCCTCATTGATACATGTCATTTCTACATAGCATCATCCCAAAACCATGTTGCAATCATAGGGACCATCGGTGCCCACAGAATAAAGCCCAGAAATCACAGGTCCCTCAGTGCATGACTTTGCAGTGACTCAAAAACACCAATCCAAAGCACAGATCCACATAGAATCACATCATTTTTTGCTTAGATCATTCCCAAACTAGTATCCAGTCACAGATCCCATCTGTGCTTACAGAGTATGCCACAGAAATAATGGGTCCTTCAGTGCATGGCTTTGTCTCAGCATGAAAACATGGATCCAAGGCACAGATCCTCATGGATCAACATAAATTTTATATAAGATCATCTCCAAGCTACTGTCCAATGTACAGTCACGTGAAAAAGAAGGTACACCCTCTTTGAATTCTATAGTTTTACATATCAAGACATAATAAAAAATCATCTGATCCTTAGCAGGTCTGAAAATTAGGTAAATAAAATTTCAGATGAACAGCAACACATGACATGTTACACTGTGCCATGATTCACTTAACAAGAATAACGCCAAAATGAAGAAGCCATTGTGGTTTGGGGATGGTCCTGTATAAAAATCATGTGGATCCATGAGGAGCCATGCTTTGGATTGGTGTTTTTACACCACTGCAAAACCATATGCTGTGGGACCTATGGTTTCTGTGGTGTAGTCTGTGAGCACAGATGGGATCTCTGATTGAACACTGGTTTGGATTTGATCCAGAGTATTTTTGAATTTGAATTTGATTTGATTTGGATTTGATCCAGAGTGATTTTTACGTGGATCCATGAGGGTCTTGGATTAGCGATTTTGCAACACTGCAAATTCATGTCTCGTGATTTCTGCGTTTTAGTCTGTGCACATAGATGAAGCCTATGATACAATGATTTGGGATAATCCTATGTAAAAATCATATGGGCCCATGACAGTCAGTGTCTCAGATATGTTTTTGCACCACTGCAAAGCTTTGGGGTGAAGAAGAAGACAATTGTACATCCCTACCCAATATTTCACCAGGGACGTGGTGGTACTGCGGGTTAAACTGCAGAAGCCTCTGTGCTGCAAGGTCGGAAGACCAGCAGTTGTAAGATTGAATCCACATGACAGAGTGAGCTCCTGTTGCTTGTCCCAGCTCCTACCAACCTAGCAGTTCAAAAGCATGTAAAAAATGCAAGTAGATAAATAGGTACCACCTCGGTGGGAAGGTAATGGTGTTCCGTGTCTAGTAGCGCTGGCCACATGACCACAGAAACTGTCTATGGACAAATGCTGGCTCTATGGCTTGGAAATGGGAATGAGCACCATGCCCTAGAGTTGGACACAACTGGACTAAATGTCAAGGGGAAGCTTTTCTTTTACCTTTACCCAATATTTCAGTCATCTCATTAAAAATCTTTAACCACTCCTTCCACATTTCACAAGTCTACTACATGTGTAAATATATCTCCTTTTCCTCTGTACATATCCAGCATAAGAGTGATGCAGTTTCATTCAATAAATTCATTTTCCTTGGCATTAAGTACCATCGCCATGCTATATATATAACCACCACCATCTCTTCTCCCCCCAATTACTTTATTCCTTTATCTTCTTTAATTGCATTTGCTAACAAATCTATTATCAATACTGTATGAATAAAACTAGAGATGGGGAAATCTTTGCCTCATTCCTCAGCCTAGGAACGTTGTTCTTGTTATACCATCATTCACTAACACTGGATGCTGTGTTCTCTGAATATAATTGTTTAATAATCTGTATAAAGCATATACTAAACCCTAAATGTTTAATTAAGATGTTTAATTAATCAAATGCTTTAAATATATCTAGTGGTAACACCCCAGCTTTATTTTTTATTTCTTCTGCTATATTCATTAAATTAAGTACCCTTCTCATTAGATCTCCCATCTGTCTTCCTTGTAAAAAATCAATTTTAGTCTTAAGCAATATACTTCCAAATAAATTTATTTAAACTGTTAATTAAAATAGCTATAAATATCTTGGTATCTTGGTTTATTCATGAAATAGGCCTATATCAACCCACATTAGTTGCATCTTTACTGGGTTTTAACATTATCGTTTCCAAAACTGGGGAATTTCTTCCCATTCTATAATTTTTAATGTAGGTACAAGAAGCTTTTTAAAACTCTTTAGCACTCTGGACCTAATCCATCTGTGCCTGTTGCTTCCCCTGCCTTTAATTTATTTATAATTTCTTCAGTTTTTTCTTCAGTAATAGGCTGTATGAAATTTTCTAATACAATTTAGATACTCTTTTACTTCATGAAGAGATGGATTATTACTGGTATACAAAGTTTTTAAAGAATTACTCAAATGATTCTAGTTTTTCTTTCATTTTGATACACCTGTTACCCTTATCATCCTGAATCACACCTATATTTCCTTTACCCCTTCTCACTTGAATAGATTTTGCTAATGGTTTAGAATTTCTGTTATGAAACTCAAAGTACTTCTGTTTAAGTAAATTTAGTTCCTTTGTACTCTTTCCAATTGGATCCCTTCTAATTATTTCCCCTTTGCTTGTAATTCCATCATAGCTTTATTATCTCTAGTTCTAATACATATCCCTTCTAACACCTTAATATTTTTCTCCAGTTCTTTTGTCCTTTTTTCTTCTTGTTTTAGTGTTTAGCCCTATTGTTGAAAGTTTCTTTTATGTAAAACTGCTTTTATTCATTGTTGTACCCCTTGTTGTAAGCCGCCTAGAGTGGTCTTAATTGACTAGATAGGCGGGATATAAATAGAAAAATAAATAAATAAATAAATATTAATATGTTAAAATTAACAAATATCTTTGATTCCCATTCCATAACTTTTATAGTATCCCATATTACATTGGTTTCTTCTTCTTCCTCCTTATTTATCATCCAGATCTCCTCCAATTTTTTTTGTATTTTATATATTATATGTTTGTGTTGATACATGTTAGTGCCCATCTTCCTTCTTTTAGGTTCTATGTAGTCACACATTTGTGAAGACAAGAGGACCTGGTGTGCTCTGGTCCATGGGGTCACAAAGAGTCGGACACGACTTAACGACTAAACAACAACAGTCACATTTAACCATAATTTCCATATTTACTCTTGCATGATCCAATATTTCTATTTCTGCATTATTTGCTCTTGGCAACACGTCTTTAGATAGCAATATATAGCCTATTCCTGAGTACCTTTTATGTACAGGCAAGTAAAGGACCATTTCCTTTCATCACCTTTTCACTCCCTCTGCACATCTTTCAAATCTGTTTTACTAATGAATCTATTCAATATTGTATATCTACCCTTCTTTTCTTCTTTTTTGTTGCTTTGTTTTGTCTTTAAGCTTATCCATATTCATGTTGAAATCTCCTGCCATTATCTAACTTTTCTAATACTAGAACTCCCCCCCCCCACCCCAAATCTCATTTGGTGCATAATCTAAAGGAAATTCATCCCGTTTTAGTTGACCTTGTATTATTAGGTACCTACCTTCCTTATCTTTGTCCAATAACTTAATTTTAAATTCACATCTTTTAGATAATAATGTAGCTAGCCCCTAGATTTGGATGTACCAAGTTTTAAATCACACACATTGACACCATTTAAAAACGGTCCCAGGGTTTCTGTCATTGGCTGGCGAGTGCTGGAAGCCGTCACAGTTACCAACACTGCCAAGATTCAACATCAGCCAAAACAGAGCCACTGAAGCTGTCCCTAAGGCAAGAACGCTACTGCCCAGCCAGTGCCAGGGTGGCTTCCTAGCCACCCTAGCACTGTCCCGTTGGTGACATTGTTCTTTACAGGGCTGCCAGCTCCAGCAGCTCCTTTTTCCCTTGCATGTAAAGCAGACAAGGCTGCTGTGACATATGCTCTCAGTAGTGTGGGAAGCCTCCCAATACTGGCCAGCCCGCAGGCCGGCGGCCACGCCATG